GCCTTGTTCCAGAGCATAAATGTGGAGAGACCCAAAGAAGCTGCTGCTACATGTGTGCATGAACAGGTTGGGTGCTTGCTTGCTGCAAGGAGGGTCCAGGGGAGGTAGTTGTGCCAAGTTGGGCACATAAGAGGACAGATGAGCTGGCTTGCTATGCCTCCCGAAGAGCTTGGTGCTGCCCGAGCAATGCCTTCATTAACAGAATAAACACTCAGTCCTCCTGCAGATTGTTATCCAGGTTGAACAGCACTCCGTTTTTATCAAGGCACTTCTCCATAATGCAGAGATCTCCTGTAGCGTTATCCAGTGAGTAAACACCGTGCTGCTTAAAGCCCTTATTCGCATCGTGCAAAGTAGTCTGCAGCCCCTCAGGACACACGCTGAGCTGGAAGGGAGGCAATAAAGCATCAATTATTTATTTCCAGAACCGTAAGTGGTTAACAGGGGTTTGTGCTGCTCTTAGTCTGCACTTCGTACCGGTGATAGTCCTGCAAGGGCCGTGAATGATAGCCTGTCCTTTCAAAATCAGCAAGTCCTTCCATCTCCTTTCAGCAGAAGACTTGCGCACGTGGTATAGGCAATGCCGTGAACAGATGCATTACAGGAGGTAAGGTCTTATTAAGAAGAAGGAATATATTAATTCCTAGTATATCTCCCCATACGTGGTTGCGACGGGCGGCAGCAACATGTACATCAGGTAGCGCTGTGCACGGATTGCGTTCAGTGTGGCAGACAGGCAGTTTCTTTGCTTGCAAAGTGGTACCACTTGGCTATTCTTCATCATTTCTTCCTACATCCAAGGGAGGTTAACAGATCTGAACGCTCATTAAGGCCATGGGTAGAGAAATTTGTGACCTCGTGTGTCTACGAGGAAGACCTACCTGATATGTTGAGGAGGAGGAGGTACCCAGAGCTGGGCACAGACCTACTGAGGTGCCCCCAGCAATATTTTCAGGGGGACAGATCTCAGGCAAGTCCATTTGTAACTTGCTTCCATCTCGTGTCAAAAGGATAATTTGATGCAGGTGTTTAGACCAAAGCTATGGCAAGAATAGAATTTCTCAAACTGAGAAGAGGAGATTTAGTGCAAGGAATTTCATTAATTTTTCTAAGGATGGTTGAATTCCCTCTTCTATGCCACTGGTAAATGATCCTTACAATAGTAGACCCTGTTGTTTACTCACAGTGTCAGCATTTTGCCATTGTATTTGGCAGGGGCTCTCATTAATTTCCTGGACGGAACTGGGCCAGTTCCTTGGTTTGAGCGGGCAGCCAACACACACGTATGTGCAGATTTGAAGAACGTTGGTTAAGAAGATTTGATAAATGTTCTAAAGAAATAATGTGTTTTAGGGTTGTCTCTAGAAAAAGATCCTTTTGCTTGGGAAACAAATCAAATTAATGAATTAGATTTTGGAGCTTTAATCTGTTATAAGAGATTCCTTGAACTTTTTAGCTTTTGTTGTCCAAAGGATGATCTGAAGTGGGTTCTCCTCGGTATAGCACTAACTGATTATAAAGGTAGACTTGTGTGCAGTGTTCAAGTTCATAAGGACTGATTCTAAATCCAAATATGTTTAATATCCTGGGTGGGAATGGATGGGAAAAGCTGTCAATAGTGTAACCAATACCTTGGAGTTAAGAGCCTGTGAACTACTCTTAAATGTCAAATTTCAGACATGAAAAATACTACCCCGTTATGATCTTCAAACTCTGTATTTATCTACCTAGCTTGCCGTACTTTATCAGCAGCTCTGCTTACCTTGGAGATACCTTTAAGCTCTTTTGACTTGTGTTTTTTGTAATCCAAATGGTGGTATTTAAATCAAGACCTGTAAATCACTCATTTAAACATTTTCTAAAAGTGTTGTTGTTTTAGTTTGTCATTTTTAAATGTTTAAAAAAAGCAGTGGGCAAACAGTGTCAGAAGCTTAGAGAGACTCATCAGTTATCTACTTAGTCTTTTTTGCTTATGCAAATAGCAAATGAATATAAAATTAAATGAAATTTTACTCTAGAAATGGGCTGTGCTGGACTGGCACTTAGCATGACTTAGTACTACTGATATGTATTTTCGTTTCTAAATAGAAACGAGAGCGTAGGTGGTTTGTAAGGTAGCATAAACATACAGAATATACAAAATTTAATTTCTGCCAGTCAACACATCTCTTAAGATCAATCATGTTAGTAATTAGATATTTTATTCATGCAATTACTTCTTAGTAAGCCAAGGATGAGACTTGTGTATTTATTCATTGGCAGGTTATGCAGACTGAACTCCTCATTTGTTTATCCTTCTCACGGACATCAGCAGATGGCTAAACAGATTACGTAGAGTTGATTCCTTAGGTTCTGATCTAATTTTTCCACAAAAGACCTTAATAAGAAAAGACAGACAAAAGAAAAAAGAAAAACAGTAAAACGATACTACCAATAGTGTATTTTAAGGTTGAATTTGTAACATTCCAAACTTCCAGGTTTTATTTCTGGCCATCCTGTATCAGTTTTTCCCTGCTGTCTGCCCACCATAACAGTTGTCTTTGACTTTATTGCATGGCCTCAAGCAGGACACAATCATTCAGGTGTATCCTCCTGCATGAGAAGATAGTTCTTTCACTCTCCTCAGCAGTTTGTGGTTGTAGTAGGATGCGAAAGTGACTTGTTGGGCAATATTTGTGCGCATAAGAGAACATCAAAGTCGAGTCTTTGAGCATCGTATGCAACCCATTGGTTTCTCTCAGTCTACTGTGATAGTCATTCAGTCCTTTGCCTTCTGTGGTAACTTAAGGATGGTCACAAATAAGTTTGATTTTGTAAGATACATCTAATTTTGTCATACTAGAGCCCTGTTGCCTGAGGAGTTTGATTCTGTGCTGGCCACTGGCAGATATCTAAGCCCTTCTAAGTATCTGACCCCATGTCTAGGTGCTGAGTGGTCCCCAAGGTGTCCCAGGCCATTTTCCCCGCCATTTTTGCACGCACCCCATCTTTTTTCACCTTCTCTCTGGGGCAGTTGTAGTCTGGAAGCTCTGGCCAAGGTGGCACCTCTTCTTCTTACGGTCTCCTCTTGGTGCCGATGGAAAGCACCAGTTCCCTGTGGATACTGTGCCACAGTGCAGGATGCCACCAGAGGGTGACCTGCAGCATCTCACACCATCCGTTGGCATTTTTGACCTCACTGTCAATGACCCATCATGTCTCTTGCCCCTTACTTATAACTTGGAAAGAATAAAGCAGCGAGATGGAAAAGTAGCCTTGTCAGAAGTGTTCCAGTTTTGTAACGCTCATGATAATTTGCTTATCATGCTGGTATTCTCTTCTGTGTTGTTTGGAGGAGTAATTGCATCTCACTGCCAGCAGCGAGGTATGGAGTTAGTGAGGTGAATCCAACCCTATTCCCACTGCTTCAGTGGGAAAAGATTTGCTCAAATCAGTGTCAGGCTTGGAAACCACAGGCAGTTTGGTTTCCTGCGTTTGCACCCAGGAGGTATCACTTGGCACTATGAAGCCAGGGCTAAATTAGTCAAAGTCTGTGCAGATATTTTGTATGGTTTGTGTGATCTAATAACTGCACACTGCCAATGTTGCTATGTCAGTTTACCAGCTAAAGAAAAATGTGTCAAGACCCCCCACCCTACTTGCTAAGCAAGTTTCAAAGTTCATGTTTTTAAAAGTAAGCCCAGTGTTTTAGACTGTGATACTTCAGAATCATGGGAAACGATGCACCCTGCTTGCTAGTTTCCACTGCTCTTACTGCTGCCGTGTGTGTCGCAGTATTGCAAGGCAGTTCTGGTGCTGCAGGCTCGCAGGAGCCAAGACGGCCATGGAAGCATTCGGTTGTAGAAAGCTTGGGCTCACGAAAGGCGGCGCTTGCCGAAGATGATCGCACCGTTTAGCGTGGCGTAGTCATTCATAGCGTTTAGTTAATGCGTTGTTGTTTTAGGCGAGTATTAGGCTTGAAAATCGCCACGGAAGGGATGGTGGTGTCTGCTGTGCAGCAGGTTTCTGGCAGCGGTGCGTGCAGCAGGAGCCGAGCGGTGAGGAAAGGCTGCGTGGTGAGGAAAGGCTGCCACCGTGTGGGACGCTCCCGGCCCGCGCGCTTCCAGGAGTAGCTTCCCGACGAATTGCGTTTTCCATGGAATTTCTGTAAAAGTGAAATTTTACCTTTCGGAAATGTGTTAAAGAACGATAATTCCCATAACGGAGAAGATACCGGTAGTGTTAAACCTTACCAGTAGGCTGCGATTTTTGTTTCACAAACTGTTGAATTTGGAAATGCAGTATTCACTAAGGCTGGTAAGGACTGGGATCCGCTCTTTTCTCTGTATAAAGTTAGTGTAGTTGGGTATTTCTGATCCCATAATTTCTCTTGATATGTAATTTCTCTCTCAACTTCAATTTTGAGTTGTAGTTTTACAAGGCTTCATTACAGTCTTTGAATTTTTCAGGCTTTTTTTTCCACATAATCATGTAATTACTATCCATAGTTTCTGCTTAATTTTTTATGCTTTCCTTTAAACAATTGAACATGTATGTTACATCCATAAAGAAAAATTGCCAATAATTACCAGGAATACAATTAGGAATAAATCTCTTTTAAGGAACAAGCTCAAGTTCAGTGTCTTATGCAAATACCTATTGTTGAAAAGATGTCTTGTGTAATCACAAATTACACTGACAAGTGAATAATCATTTAATTAATGAGAACGGAGCAATCATTTTGGAGGGCTCATTCTATTAATGACTGAATAAAAGAGAGAAAACAGCCTGGTGCAGAGCTTAGGGCAGCTGCTGAAATAAATGCACCCCGGAATGCTGTTGCGCTACCGTCTCATGTGCGTGGTGTGGTAATTTCTGCTTTAGCCCCGTTTAGCCCCATCTATTCGGATCCAGCAGCCGCTCAGCCTCGCCGGGCACGTGGGATGGTGGCACCGGGGGGCCCCCGTGCTCCTGGGAGCCCCCTCGTGTCCCTGCGTAACGCTGGCTCTGTGCTCTCTCCTCAAGGATCCTGGAGCTGCAGCAGAACGGGGACATGGACCTCCTGAAGCACAAGTGGTGGCCCAAGAACGGCCAGTGCGACCTCTACTCCTCCGTGGACGCCAAGCAGAAAGGCGGTGCCCTGGACATAAAAAGTTTTGCAGGTGTTTTCTGTATCCTCGCCGCTGGGATTGTCCTATCCTGTTTCATTGCAATGTTGGAAACGTGGTGGAATAAAAGGAAAGGCTCCCGGGTTCCTTCAAAAGAGGTATTAGACCCTTCTTTTGTCCTGGAAAATGTTTGTGCACCCTAAAGACCGCTGCCTTGAACTTGTGGTATAAGAGAAGGAGGGGAAACAAATTATGAAAAGTTTCCTTAGCCTCCTAATTTTTAAGCTATTTTTTTAGAAAAAAATAGAGGGGGAAAATAGTGTGTTCTGGTGATGTATAAATATGTAACTATTCTGAGTAAAGCAGAGATGTTACTTGTAGAATAATACATTATTAATACATCGATACTTAGTACGTCATTCCTATTGGCGAGAGCTAATTCTCACCAATAAATTGAGAGGCTCCTTGGCTGCTTCTTGCACAATGTATCACCTAAGCCCAATGGCTGAGTCTTTCAAAACAGATTTTCAAAGCTTAGTCCTTAAATCTGTAGTTAGCTTCTCAAATAAGCTTGTCCTGATTTTCAAAGACGTTAACATCCTCAGACTTCCATGAGCTTCAGTTCTGGGTATTTAATCTGAAGCCCATGAAAGTGAGAGCATTTGTGATTTCTTTTTCATACTTACGATGTTTCAGTCTAAGGGCAGGCTTGTTTCTGACATCTAATGCAGATTTGTTTCAGAAAATCTTGACCAAATACATTTTTAAGAGCTGCATGAGGTCTAGAAACCAGTCATTTTGCAGCAGAGATGAGCTGGGTCCCACGTGTGCGTGTTGTTTTCCTCACCCCGGCAGGCCCCCGCTGCCCTTACCAGCCATCATCACCTTACACAGTCTTGCAAGACATTCCTACCTTCATAATTAAGTCTTTAACTCCACAAAACACTGGAGAAACCAAGGGAAAAAAGCTGCTGTTAAAATGTGCTTGGCACAGATACCCGAAGCAGAACCCAAGTATGGGCTATCCTGCAGCACTGTCAATTACAGCTTTTCTATCTGTGTAGCTTGGGTGCCTGTTGTGGGGTATTGCTGTTAATTTGTGTGCAGTGCTCTCACCTTCTCTGCAGTTTCTCCGTTGCGTTTATTCCTGCTAATCTAATGCTGTGTAATCAGGCAGGGTTAATTACGCTACCTAATTAGACAGCATTGCCGCTGATGTTAGAGTATTTTCAATCTTCTCTTGCCTGTTTTAATTTCCAAGCCTTTTTTTTTTTTTTTTTTTTTTAGTTAAAGATCTGGACCGGACCATTATTAAAAGCAAAAAGCATCTTTAGTCTTTAAATTGGGTTTCTCAGGAATGGGAACCATATAGATTGAAATGGAAAATTATATATAAAAAAACTAAAATTACTAAAATTTGCTAGGCTGGCCTCCCAAAACGTTTAGAACTTCATATTTATCTGATGCAAAACATAAAAATTAAACAACAAAGGAAAAAAATGTCAACTCGGACATTTTCTATAATGATAAAATTACATCTTTAAAATTTTAAGCACACAGAAATTAAAATGTGTACTTTCCACGGGTGGTATAATTTGGCCTCCTTGATGTTTGTCACATATTCATTAGCTTAGCATTCAAATTGGTATCTCAAAGCTCGATGGAAAAGCTCGGCTCAAAACTGAGTTTAACGTGGACATATGTGCTGAATGCTCCCGCTCTCCTGGCTGTGGGGGTCATTCAGCAAAGAGATCCATCGTAACTAACTTTCTTAAAATTCATTTTAGCTTCCATGAAATCCATTGGCTCTTCCAGGCCACTAGTCCAGACTCGGGGGTCAGATTGGGCCAGTTTGTGGGCCAGCAAGCCAGCCCTTTTTCCTGGTGGCTGCCGTCTTGTGCTCCAGAATGCAAGCTTTTATACTGAAAAAAAAGTTGTCTAATGGTTGCGAAGATACCGTTTGGGTCGCGTACCAGAAGTAACCCATTCAGTGATGTCTGCCCGAGTCCGCAGACAGCCTTAAACACTAGCTCTGAGAGAAGTATGAACTGCCCCAGTAATCTCAATGGGATGTTGACTCTGAAGCCTGATGATAATTTAAATGTGAAAACTGCTGCATATTTCACTACTGATCCCACAAGAGAGAAGAGGAAAGATCATATAATGGAGATATGCACAATCTTACTGTGAGTGGGTCTCGTTTTGGTGTATCACTTGGGTGGAGCTTGGGGTGTGGGCTGAGCGTGGGAGAGTGTCACCGCTTACCTGTATGGACGGGTCTCACCCTGGCCCCAAATGCACCTCCGTAAGAGACGGGCGAGGAGTCTCTCTCTCATAACTCGGAGAGGCTCGGAAGCAATGAAATTCTACCCATTCCCTCATTGGTATTTTAAATTGCAAAGCGCTCTTGAGCTTTTCCAGGCTGCCGAGAGCAGCAGGAGAACGAACGAGGCCCGTCCCTTGCAGACGTGCTCACGACGCCCGCGCTAGCAGAGCCTCCGTGTCACTCCTGACGTTCGCAGTGTGGCCCCGGGCCTCCTGCAGCCCCAGAGCTGGCAGGCGAGAGAGCTTGGGGAATGCGTTTGGTGTTGGTGTCACCGTGTGCTTGTTCTGTGCATCCGTGTCTGTGTCCACCTGTGAATAAGCTGCAGACAAAAAGTGAAGTCAAAGCAATGAGCGCTGCATTTTTTTTTTCCTCCCATGATGAGCCTAAAAGCCAAAGCCTCTGGGGTAGGTTTGTTTCCAGCGTGAGCGTCTTGTTGTGGCCCCTTTCCCTGCCCCTTTCCCTGCAGTTTGTCTCACTGTGAAGCACAGTTGCCCTCGGAGGGTGAAATCCCGCAGGGGAGCTGCTCTCGGTCCCCCTGACCTGGCCTCTGTATTCGATGTGGTACCAGTGCGAACATTTGGTGCCCAGCTTTGCTGCGCAGACGCGCTCCTGCGCTCTGCTCCCAGCGGGGTTTTTCTGAGTGCTCGAGCTCAGCCGCAGGTGAAGGAGGGCTGCAAAGCCTCCGCGGTGCACGAGGAGTTTTGCCCCGATTCGGTGAGCTCTGGGTCCAGCCGGACATTGAAGTGGGGTAACCGAGTCTGGATGTGGTCAGCGCGCATCCCTCAGTCACCTGTTGCCCTCCACATGGCCCTAGGGGGTGTTCCGAGCGGCCTGGAAGAGCCAGCAGATTTCACAGATTAAGATAAATTTTGGGCAGGTTAGTTGGAACTGATTTTTGTTCTGAATGAGCTGCACTACCTAGGTCAATAGATGAACGTCCCTTGTACGTGTAAACTTAACTCCACGCTGAATTAAGCTTTGCAGTTCAGTGGAAATGACATGTGTGCATTGTAGGTGATTTATTGTGCCACCCAGGACTTCCTCTTCGATTTATTTTTAAAACAACAAAAAGTTCATTTAAGTTCTTGCTTATAACAAGTAGCTTCTTTAACTGAGCTCTCTGTGGGGAGAGATGTAGGACAGAGAGGTAAGAGGGGAGTGATGATGTGTTAAAATAAATACCCCAGGCCTTGTTCTTATCTCACCCTCGATAATTCCATCAGGATGGATGGAATTGCTCCACCATAGGTAAGGGGAGAATGAATCCCTCTTTTGGCATTGCAGTTTAAACGTATGTGGTGCATTCCTCTCTGCATGATATATAAATGAGTCACCGGTGCTTGGATTTTTATTTGGAAGTTCAGCTTTTTTAAATTCCAGCTTATATCATAAAGGCAAAAGTGAATCTGATGCACTTTTAGCCCTTAAACCCTCAGAGAGATGATGCTGTTGGAGAGGCCGATCTGACCCCTTAGAGACCCCGTTTTGACGCTCAGGTTTAGTCATCGTTACGGCTCTTGAGAACCGGCGTCACCCCACGCTGGCGATGACGCTTTGTTTTCACGATACCACAGTTAGTGTCACTTGGATATTGCTCATCCGAACCATCCAGCCCCTAGCTCAAGCCCAAAGCTACTGGGAGCCCTTTGAGTGTTGCTGCTCAGCGTCAGGGTTGGAGGGCCAGTGAGGACTAAGGGTGGCCCCTCGGTTTGGGCCTGCACAGCGCCAGGCGTGGGGACGGTCCTTGCTGCTCGGGTTGAGGTTGTCCCCGGGTGATGCCCGCCTGCCCACGGGAGCCCTTGGCTGCTCCTCAGCGTGTTCATCGAGCGGTTCCGATCGCGCCGTGCGGCCTGGGCCCGGCGCGAGCGGCCCATGTTGTGTTTCTCCTTCCCCAGGATGACAAGGAGATCGACCTGGAGCACCTGCACAGGCGCGTGAACAGCCTCTGCACGGACGACGACAGTCCCCACAAGCAGTTCTCCACCTCGTCCATCGACTTGACCCCGCTGGACATTGACACTTTGCCCACGCGCCAAGCGCTGGAGCAGATCAGTGACTTCAGAAACACTCACATCACCACGACCACCTTCATACCCGAGCAGATCCAGACTCTGAGCCGCACTCTGTCCGCCAAAGCCGCCTCCGGCTTCTCCTTCGGCAGCGTCCCCGAGCACCGAACTGGCCCTTTCAGGCACAGGGCGCCCAACGGCGGCTTCTTCAGGAGCCCCATCAAAACCATGTCGTCCATCCCCTACCAACCCACGCCCACGCTGGGGCTCAACCTGGGCAACGACCCGGACCGAGGCACCTCCATATGAGCCACGTTTCCTCAGCGCCTCTTTTCTAGGACTCCCTTCGCCAGGAGCAGCTGTGATATTGTGGGACTAACATGGATGTAACCTTTGCTGTTCTCCTTTTTTGGTTTGTTATTTTTTGTTTCGGGATTCTTTCTGTTCTGATATTTGGTTTTTAAGAAAAGAATGAGGATTATTAGTAACAACTCACTCCTCCTCCTCTCCACTTTCTCAGCCTGGTCTCCTCCTCCTCTATCTCCTTTTATTCTCTTTACTACTTGAATCACTTATTCTTTGGCTTATCGCCCACATTAGTTTTGGTTACTTCAGGCTTTTCGTATAATTTAAGTAGAGCAAACATGTAGTGATTAATGCATAAAAAAAATAATAAAACCTGAGGATTACTTTGCAGAAGGGCATTTGTTCCTCCTCCCCTACTGCCTTTTTTAATGTAATTGCAATAACTTAAGTCCTTTGCATTTATTCTGCTGCATCCAGTCAGCGCTCCACTGCTATGTGTCCTTTTAACTGTGGACCAAAGGCAAACCCTGCAGTTAAAAAAAATAAGTAAAATAAATTTTAAAAAAAGGCAAAAAGAATTTAAAAAAGAAAAAAAAAAGAAAAACAAGATAAAGGAAGTTAAAAAGACCATTCAGGCCCCGTAATATGAGAATGCAATTTTGTAGGATTACAAAAAGCCATTACTATGCCAGTAAAGACTACAGTTAAATCTACTTTTGCACTGCAACAGTGCATATGACCTTTATGTGATTGTACAGTGTTAAAAGTTTTTCTTATGTACAGTAAACTGTATCATATGGCAGATGCCTCTGTTGTGTTAATAAATTAGTATCTCATACATATATATATATACATATATACGCAGGTATGTATATATATATACATGTATATATAGCTATAAAATGGCAGCCGTTGCTATTGCAATTCATTTAATAAAGCTTTAGTAAAAATGTGTTGTCTACAGGAAAGATGTACAGTGCAGGGGGTCTTTTCATTTGGAAAAGACAGGTTGCTTTAATGTTATTCTGACTTGCATTGTTTGCCAACAGAACATATTTTATACTTTTTTATTAGAACATCCGGGGCAATTTAATGTTTGTACCTCGATGTAACTCATTTGATTAGGTTTTGCATTGGCTACTGAGCATCGTATAAGGCTAACCTTGATAATTTTAATTAATTAGACAAGTGGAAAACTCGTAGGCCTATCATGTTCATGAGCAACAACTGTAGCTCTAGAGAAGTTTAAATGCAGAACAAAGGTTAATAAATTGGTTTCCAAATCAGTACAGCTGATCAATAGGATAGTGGTGTTAGTGGAGGAAAAGAAAGCCCTTGAGAAATACTGATGCGGCCTTAATTGCAATCACATATTGTTCTAAGGAGAAAAAAATATATGTATGAACCGGCGCTCATTTTAACCCATTATATGTTAAGTTAGATTTAGAGGAGCTACATGTTTCTTACATTAGTGCCAACTGTATAGAGCAAAGGAAAGAACAGCAGTGAGGGCAAAACCAGTGCCCACTTTGGCACCTGCTTTTTGAAGTAACATTGTTACCTGTTAGAAATGTAGGAAGAGCTTTAAATTTTGTAATCCTTAAAACTAAAAATGCGGTTAAGTAGAAAGCGAGCAGTTTATCCTGTGAGTTCTTTGATTTTGTTTTGTTTTTTAATGCAACCATGCACTTATTTTAACCTAACTCATTCTTTGGCTAGGATTAATAGGAATCAGCCTATGTGATTTGCTTTAGGATAAATTAAAAGGTATATTCTTCAGATCTATTCTATTTTGATGCTAATTCTGTTCTGGGGGAGCATCTTGTACTGTCACTGTTTTTTGTACTAAATCTTCAAATATTGTCTACTGTGTAAGGCGGAACAAATTCTTATCGTGCAAAAGGCCATTTTGTTTCGGGGAAGGAAGTGTCTAAGAGCATGCACGACTTGCTTCCCCTTGTAACAGTCATGAACTCATCCACACCTCCAAGCAAAACAGAAAATAAAGAAATAAAGTTTCTTTCCAACAAGCTATGTAGGGACATACCAGATGTTGCAGTGATTTTAGCTATAAACAAACTGTTAACCATGTACAATATTTAAAATAGGCCTATTTTGATGTGTTGCCTATTATACAGATACACGAAACACTTTTTGGAGGCCTCAGTTACAAGTGGCAGAGCTTTCTGTGTATAATTTGTCTAAATAATTTGTCTAATAAAATTGTTTTCTAAACCCTGTTTCCTCCTGTTTAAGTGCTGAGCACCGGCGGGTTCTCGGTCCGTGGTGGGCGCCCGTGTGGGATGAATTTGCGGTGCCAGCACAGGAGGCACCTCCCAAAAGCCAAGACCTGTCACGACGTCCTCATCAGTCCCATGAGTGCAGTCTAAAGTGCTGGAGCCTCTGCAGCAACTGCTCCTGCCCCGGTAATGCTCCAGCACGGTGTATTGTTTTGCTGGAAAAATTCCTTGGCTGAGGAAAAAAAAAAAAAAAAAGACAAAGCAAAACACACACACGCATCCCAAAGAGCTGGTAGAGCAGGAACACAGGGTCGCGTTATCGTACCAACTACCATTTGTGCTTCTCGCTATTTGCTGTGGAGAAACTCCAGGACATTCAACAAGATTCACTGTGTGTATTAGTGCCAGGCTTACATTTCAAGAACCTTGTACATGCAGCGCTTTGGGACATATTGACACTGACATTTAAGGGATGTGATTTTCAAAAATACTGTCATTGACCTCCATCCTTTTTTAATGTAATCTAGGAATTTTCCTGGAATATGGTAGTTATATAGAGTCACATTCTGCATTCTTTATTGATATGGAAAACATAGTTCACTCTGATGCTAGACATAAGCTGTCTTAGACTTCACTAAAGTTTGAGTGCGAGAGAATTTAGCCTGTATTTCGTTATGGCCTTCTGGTCCTCCTGCACTCAAATTTTATATTTTCATTAATATGCTAAAGTTGCGGCCTAATCTCTAGCAGATCTGGCAGGAGGTGCTGTGATAACATCGGTCATGATGATGTAACTCTGGGCAGCCAAGGTTTGTCTTCAGGGTTTTTACATTCAGTATAACTGAATGAAAACTGAGCAATATTTCTGAATAATTGCAGTCTTCTATTAAGCTCAGCAGGCATCTGGGGGCAGAGGCCATTTGCATTTCAGTTTATAGTTTCAAAAATGCCCTGGGAGGAGTCCTCAATTCATTACTACATTAAAAAAGTCTCAATCCAGATAACATAAAAAGTCTAAAGGAAATTAGACTTTTTAAAGTGACTTGAGGATGAAATACAAAGGTGCTTTTGTATTATGCCAGCAGGCACTCATGTCAGTGGGTACTAAATGCCTAGCAAAGGGTACTAGAGGCTCTGATAATCTGGCTTCTTTTATTATTCCACTTAAAAGCAATCAAGAGACAAGGGCTGCTTGCTTGCTTTGTGATAGGGCTTCAGCAAACGGAGGCATTGACCCTGCGAACAGTAGTGCACGCTACCCTGTGTCTAGTAGGGGTTGCATTTATTGCAAAAGTGCTCAGTGAGCGTGGTCGTAATTTGGGGTTGTTCTCAATCTGTAAAGTAATCATGGCTTCTTGGAATATTCTCTGCTACTTCTGGCATGGTAAGATCGTTCACCTGACACTGAACATGGATATTGCAAACACTTCTATCTACAGCTGGGTCATTGCAGACGTCCTGCCAATTTACTCATCAAGATAGGCCAAATTAAGGAGAGCACTATGTGACATTTCCTTCTCTAGGCAAAAGAAGACAGTGAAGGAAGATGTGCAGTTCAAGCCCCACCGGCAACTGGTTCCGTTGCAGCGGTCAATTGAAAATACCCAACAGCCGTACGTAAACATGAATCCTCTACACTGTGATTCCAGTCATACGCCCAGTTTGACATACCAGTTATGAACAAAATAAATATGTGAGCAGTGGAAGAAAATGTGTTTATCTCATTTCAGAGAATCACTCTGTAAAGTGGCTGTATTGACCACCGGTGAAGTACCTGGAGATAAAAAATAGTCCCACTGCCCCAGTCAAAGAAGTGATTACGGCTGTCACTGATCCAGCCACAGCGTGATCAGAGCAAAAACAAATAAAGTGTGGGAACCATTTCCATAAATAGATCAGCTCTAGGGAAAATATTTTCCGTGCCTTCTACATTTATGTAGGATGCTGCAAAGTGATGAGAATGAAAACCCTCCTTCTGTGCTTGGACTTTGTGGTGCAATGACACTTACTTTAAGTTAATACCCTGCATAGGCTTCATTTCTTAAATCTGCACAAAGGTTACCTGAGAAGTAAGACAGGTCTTCTTGTGCACACCTTTGGCTGTAGTTAATGAAATAAATCAGTTCTTCAGCTTGGCAAAGTAATCATACCAATAGTTAGGCGTATCCCTGCTCTCTCTTAGCCCAGCTGTTGGTGTTTCCCCTTGCAGTGTATGCCTGTTTGAAATAAACATCAAACCCGGCTGTCTGCTCCTAGGAATGAGCCAGATGCAAGCACCACGACTCATCGTAAGCTGTTAGTCTGCCATGTATCGTGGAAGGAATCGTTCATGATCAGAGGGGGGAACTTGAAGCCTCTGAAGGCATCTTCGTGCAGGCAGACTGATTCCTGACTTAATGAATTCACCTAAAAAAACCAAACAAACAAAAATACACTGATTCCTCAGGAGCCATGAATTTCATGAAAAATGACCTTTTGAAATACAGAGTTATAAAAATAAATTTATTGCATGTCAAGTCTTAGGAAACCTGCCCCCAGCCCATTTGTGATCGTGGCGTGATGCTTTGCATGCATTACAGAATTTATTTCTACACCACTCCTCACAGGGAAGGGAAATACTACACCTGGAAACCTGAATTAGAAAGTCAGGAACTACTGCACTCCAGGTCAGGCAGGAAGTGTGAGGCAGAAGCAAGAACCCAGTTGCTCGGAAACAACTGAGTGCCTTAACGAGGCGGGAGGGTATCCTTTCTCCGTGAACGCTTGGGGAAGGGCTTGGCGGAGGATGTTGTGGAGAGAGATGAAGGAGAGCGGGAGGTGAGGGGAGCTGGGCAGCACCCGGCTGCCTTAGAATCATAG